CTCTCCCCTCCCCCCACCCGTTCTCTCCTGTTTTGTCTATTTAAAAGGGTTTTGCTCTGTTGCACAAGCTGGAATGCAGTGGTGAGGTCACTGCTCACTGCAGCCTTGACCTCCCAGGCTCAAGCAATCCTCCCACCTCAGCCTCCCAAGTAGCTGAGACTACAGTCATGCCACCACATCTGACCAATTTTCAAAATTTTTTCTAGAGATGGCGTCTTGCCATGTTACCCAGGCTGGTGTAGAACTTCCAGACTGAAGCAACCTGCCAGCCTTAACCTCCCAAAGTGCTGGGATTACAAGTGTGAGCCACCACACCCAGCCTTAACTTTTTATTAAAGTAAAATTTACTTTAAAAGTTCATAATTTCTAAGCACACAGCTTTGTAAATTTTCACATATTAAGCCCACCCTTGTAACTAGCATATATGGGTATATTTTTAATTAAAATACTTCAAAATGGAAATTTCTGGAAAAAGTAAAAGACTTCAGGGTATTTTCTGTGTAAAGATATAATGTATATGTTAAATGATGTGTTTATTAATCTTTCGCACGTAAAAGACTTATGAAATTCCTGTAGGAAAAAAATCTAGGCCACTAGATTATTATTTCTTATGGAAGGAGCTGCTCTTTAAATACAGATTTAGGGAATTAGAAAGGTAAGTTTTTTGGTTATGAGTATCATATTTTGAGCACTTTGGCATAAATGATCAGTTAAATTTGCATTTAAGTATGCAAAACGTTTCTGTTCTATAGAAACCTCGGACTTGTTTTCTCCCTCTGGTTGCAGTGGGTTACAGGGGGAGGACCTGCATGGTGTGTGTGTGGCGGGGGGTGTAATCAGCTCACTGCACTCACTGCTCTTAATTACAGCACTCAGGATCGTGCCTGTGGGTCCTGTGAGAGTGAGGTTCTAATTCAGTAACTCCCAGGAGAGGCCCATGGTCCCTGGACCCCTTAGAATAGCAAAGCACTTTATCACGTGGGGTCCCCTCTAGGAAGACTTACATGAGAACTTTCTTTGATGCGACCTCTGTTTTCCCTGAAAAACTGGCATGTAATTTTTCTCTGTGGATGACCTGTATCCTGCCTGTCCACCCTCCCTCTGATCTGCTGAGGGGTGCCCAGTCTGTGGCTCAGCATTGATACATTTTCCTGGTCCTGAATTTTGTGTGAGCTCTAATTTTCCTGATTAATCCAGTTCCCCCCCACCCCCCAAGTTTATTATGTTTAAGTGATTTAAATCTTTAGTGGAATGAGAGTAGGGAAGAAACTTGAACAAACTGACAAACTGATTTTAGTAGACCCAATAAGGAGAGGCCTAAAGAAGGCAGTCAGTGATCAGGAAGTGCCCTCAGATGCAGGCTGCCTGAGAACAGTGGCCATGCCAGCTGCTCAGTGAATCAGGAGCAATCTGCTTAATAAGAAAAGGGAGACCAGGCTCGGTGGCTCACGTCTGTAATCCCAGCACTTAAGGCAGATCACCTAAGGTCAGGAGTTTGAGACCAGCCTGGCCAACATGGTGAAACCTCATCTCTACCAAAAATACAAAAGTTAGCTGATCATGGTGGCAGGCGCCTGTAATCCTAGTTAACTCGGGAGGCTGAGGCAGGAAAATCGCTTGAACCTGCGAGGTGGAGGTTGCAATGAGCTGAGTTTACGCCACTGCACTCTAGCCTGGGTGACAAGAGCGAAACTCCATCTCAAAAAAAAAAAAAAAGAAAAAAGAAAAGGGAATGAATTCTTTACATTCTCAAGCCAAAAAGTGCAGAAAAAGTAAGCCTTCTCCACTCACCATACAAACACTTGCATACCCGGGCCCTTTACCAACCTAGATAGCACTGCAAAGGGGTGAGACCCTCTGTGGGCCTCATGTGAATGAGGACTGGCGTTGGCAGAGGCCCTGCATGTGACACTGTCCTAAGTGTTTGCCATGTGTCATCTCCTCAGAAAAGTACAGCAGTGGGAGGTGGGTTCTAGTTGGCCCAGTGTTTTAGAGGAAACGGGCTGGGGGCACGGAGATGTGTCAGGAGGGTGACTCAAGCTCTCTCCTGCCCACCGGAGCCCTTCCTGACCTGCGTGCAGGGTCCTTGTCAGATGTGCTGTTCACACATCCGGAACGAGTGACAGGCCTGAGGAAGGAGTTCAGTACTCCCCTAGAGTGGCCATTTCGTGCTCCACCTTTGATGTCCAGTGTATGTGTTGCTAGCTTATCGCTGGATAGCTGCTGCTGCCTTTTTAGGTTTCATGGATTTTTCAACCTAAAAGGAAGAGGCTGAGGCAACATTAATATAAGTAGAGAGTTTATTTGGGCCAAGCTCAAGGATGCAGCCGAGGAGCATAGATTCAGGTTAGTTACCCTGGACACACAGTCTGATGAGCAGCAGTTACAGGTGGATTTTTACTCCAGCCTGGGTGACAGAGCAAGATCTTATCTCAAAAAAGCAAACAAATAAATATAAAGGCAAAAAGGGGGCAGGGAGTAGGCTGATACAAAGTTGTTTGTGAGGAATTGTCACTGGCCCACACAAATGACATTGATAAGAGATTGGTTGTACACCATCAAGCTGTAAGGTGTGGGTTATGCTGTCCAGTGTGGCATTATTAGGTTAATTTATAGCTACTTGTGGCAACAGCAGGCAGTTTCAGAAGGTGAATACATGCCACAAGGGGGAAGTAGAATGTGATTATTCTCTCAGTTAAATGTCTCTCTGAGACTAAATAATTAAAAAGAACTCAGATTCCTCAGATAGGAACTCTTTTCTCATTTCCATCCTCATAGGGGTTGCTTCTCTTTGATGTCCTCTCTTTGCCCTCATGTCTGTGGGGCATGGAGTTTATCAGGGTCCCTCTCCCCTCCTTCTATTCCCTGGGCATCCACACTCAGCCACCCCTCAACATCCCTGGCAGCTGGCCAGCCTGACTCCTGCCTCCACTCTGCTGCAGCTTCCAGGGCCTCCCAGACCCTGGTCTCACCCTCCCCACATGCTCCCCTCTGCAGAGGAGCTCTCTGCAGTGTCTCAGCCTCCCAGACAGCCCTTCTTGCTTGCTTGCTTTAGGGCTCTCTGACATACCATATACTTCTGTCTGGATTCTAGTATCTGCTGTGATTCTACTCAGATTTCTTTTTACACAGGCTCTTCCTGGTACTTCCATCTGGATATGAGCTGTTCCTATTCAAAAAAAATTTTTTTTTTGAGAAAAGGTCTGTTGCTCAGGCTGGAGTGCAGTGGCAGATCTCGGCTCACTGTTAGCATTGACCTCCTGGGTCAAGCCATTTTCTCGCCTCAACCTCCCATGTAACTGAGACCCCGGGCACACATCACCGTGCCTGGCTAATTTTTCTATTTTTTGTAGAGACGGGGTTTCACCATGTTGCCCAGGGTGGTCTCAAATTCCTAGGCTGACGCTATCTGTCTGCCTCAGCCTCCCAGAGTGCTGGGATTACTGACGTGGGACACCAGAAATTTCTTTCTTTTTTTTTTCTTTTTTGAGTTCAAGTTTTGCTCCTCTTGCCCAGGCTGGAGCATAATGGCGCAATCTCAGCTCACTGCAACCTCTGCCTCCCGGGTTCAAGTGATTCCCCTGCTTCAGCCTCCCAAGTAGCTGGGATTACAGGCATGCGATACCGTGCCCAGCTAATTTTGTATTTTCAGTAGAAATGGGGTTTTACTATGTTGGTCAGGCTAGTCTCAAACTCCTGACCTCAGGGGATCCACCCGCCTCCGCCTCCCAAAGTGCTGGGATTATAGGTGTGAGCCACCACACCCGGCCTCAGAAATTTATTTCTAACCCCAAGGATGCTCCATGTGATGTACCTTGTGTTGGCAGATTGTTAACGCTCCAGTCTTGCTTTCCCTGTCTTAGGTGGTGTTTCTGGAGGCCTGGATCTTGGAAGTTTATCCCCCTGTACCCACAAGGCCTCCCATGCTGCAGAGCCTGTGCTCACTCGGTGCTTGCTGACCAGTGAAGGTTCTGTGTACCAGTCCAGGCAAAACCCTCCCCTCAGTTGTGGGACACTGGAAAAGATGCTAACCAGAAATGCAGATCTCCTCGGGTTGTTTATTTAGCTTAATTCTAGTAATATGCATCACCAAGAAAGCTACAGAGAAATGGTAACACTAATCTCCCAGCCCTTTGTCTTGGTGACAAGATCCTGCCACAGGATTGCTTCACTGTAATAAAGATATTTTACTAATGAAAGAGTAAAAGGAATTTAGATAACGTGGACATTTCCTCTTTCTCCCTTCCCCTTGAAAGGGAACCACTGTTTGGTGTTACTGAAATATTAGTAAGAGGAGAAGGAAGAAAGAAACACTTAAGTTTAGGAATGTCGGTCATGTAACAGGAAATTGTATTACAATGGCTTTTGGGTGTAGCAGTTCCTTGCCTTTTCCCCTTCTTTTTTTTTTTCTTAGTGGCTTTCAAATTAAATTTGGCTCTGCCAAAATGCACAACACATACCTTTTTAATGTAGGATTTTAACTTGCTTTTATAACACACAAGCGAATCATACCCCCCTGTGTCATAGCTCCCCCCTCCCCACTTAAGTCTTGGCCTTGTTTTTTTTTTTCTTGAGACAGAGTCTCACTCTATGCCTACGCAATGATCTCGGCTCGTTGTAACCTCCACCTCCCAGGTACAAACAATTCGTCCTGCTTCAGCCTCCTGAGTAGCTGGGACTACAGGTGCCTTCCACCGTGCCCAGCTAGTTTTTGTATATTTAGTAGAAGCTGGGTTGGCCAGGCTGGTCTCAAACTCCTAACCTCAGGTGATCCTCCCACCTTGATTTCTCAAAGTGTTGGAATTACAGGCATAAGCCTGGGCCTGGCCATGCCCCTATTTATTAAAGCAATGTGTGTGTTCACTGTGTAAGTTTGGAAAAAGAAAAAATATATAAAAAGAAAATGAAGATCCCCCACAATTCTATCAGCCCAGGTAAGACTGCTCTTAACATGTTGGTGTAAAACTGGACAACTTTTTTCTAATTACAAAAGTAGATAATGCTTTGCACAGGGGCAGTATCATAGCCAATGAGGTTTATCCAAGGTGTGATGATTGCTAATTGGAAACTTTCCCAATACGCTGCCATGACAAATTGAAATGTAGTTGTGATATTGTGCTGGCCTAGAGCCAGAACCAGAGCAAAACTATTTTATAAAATGCAAAACTGTTTGTAGATAAGTTGAAATGGCTGCCCCATTCTCCTTACAATAACTACTGTCCTTGGCCTCTGTAAATAGAACTCCTAGTTTGTTCTTCAAAACTATGTAAAGCTGCTTACCTTTTCTTATCAGTAACTGCCAGAATTGCTAGCCTTTGCTTACCGGCAATTGCCAGACTAAGCAGCCCAAGCTAGTTCCATCCTGGCTCCTGTGACTTGTAATAAGTAACTAAGGTCTGTGATTTCCACCTTAACCAGATAATGTGTAAACAAATGTTTATCTTGACTTCTGTAAACCACTTAAGTAACAAACGGAATGACAAAAGTCCCCTGGCCCTTGGAATGTCTGGAGACCCCCACCCTCATCTCTGCCCAGGAGGTAATTTACAGAATCCACTAGCCCTCGGAATGTCTGAAGCCTTTTCATCCCCATCCCCGCCCCTCACCCACACTCCCAAGGTGGTTTTTCGGGTATAAAAAATTGTGGCACCCTCCTGTTGCCACCACAGGTTGGAGAGACGTGAGTCCTCTGTGGTCGCCGGCATAATAAATGACCCTGCAATCTGGCATACTTTTGTCTTGTGATAACTTTCTACGCTCCGGTCAAATACAACATAGTCAGCACTGGCAATTTTTGACAGTCTCTACAGAGACTGAATAGAAAAAAAAAAAAAATAGAGAGTGATATAATATGTGGGGTACAGTGACTCACACCTGTAATCTCAACACTCTGGTAGGCTGAGGCAGGAGGATCGCTGAACTTAGAAGTTCAAGGCCAGCCTGGGCAACATAGCAAGACCCTATTTTTTTTCATTAAAAAAAGATAGAATTCTCTATTAAACAATATAATGTATATACCACACGCACATATCTATGTGACAAGTGTTGAGGTCCTGTGGTCCGTCAGGTCAGCCCAGTCAGTTCTCAGAAGTCTCTCTTGCCCTGGTGCAAGTTCCACCTTTGCTCCTGGGAGCTTGGTGGATCTTCAGTACCGGTTCCGGTCTTCTTTTTCTGGTCTTCCCTGCACAGTACCCTCCTCAGTCTGGTTTGTTTTGTTTCATTTTGTTTTTTGAAACAGTGTCTCTTTCTGTCGGCCAGGCTTGGTGTGCAATGGCACGATCTGGCTCACCGCAATCTCCGCCTCCTGGGTTCAAGCGATTCTCCCCACTCAGCCTCCTGAGCAGCTGGGATTACAGGCACCCACACCCATGCCTGGCTGATTTTCGTATTTTTGTAGAGATGGGTTTCACCATGTTGGCCAGGCTGGTCTTGAACTTCTGACCTCAGGTGATTCACCCATCTCAGCTTCCCAAAGTGCTGAGGTGATTACAGACTTAAGCCACCACATCCGGTCCTAAAATACGATTTTTAACATCTGCATTGTAGTCCATTCTTCAAATAGATGTCCTGTAATTTATTGTAAAGAGCTGGTCATGAACAATTCTACATACATCCTTATGGATACCACTGATTTCGTTAGAACACATTTTAGGAATGGAATTACTAGGGTAAATGAGAGAACATTTTTACAATTCTTATTTGTATTACCAAGTGGGTTTTAAAAAATCATTCAGTTGAATTTATACTTCCAACCCTGCCAACAATGAATATTATCACTGCTACTGCTAAAAACTAGAAGCAAGCAACTGTCAATGTAATAGTTGGCTTTTTTTTTTTTTTGAGATGGACTCTCGCTGTGTCACCCAGGCTGGAGTGCAGTGGTGTGATCTCAGCTTGCTGCAACTTTCGCCTCCCGGGTTCAAGCAGTTCTCTGCCTCAACCTCCCGACTAGCTGGGATTACAGGTGCCCACCACCACAGCCGGCTAATTCTTGTATTTTTAGCAAGGACTAGGTTTCACCATCTTGGCCAGGCTCTTGAATTCCTGACCTCGTGATCTACCCACCTCAGACTCTGAAAGTGCTGAGATTATATAGGTGTGAACCACCACACCCAGCTGGGCTTTGTATTCTTAACTGCAGCAATGGGTGTGTGTGATAATGGAAAGTGGTAATGTTTCTCCAGTTTTAAGTACCAGAAAGCTCTCATTTTGGTGGTGAGTGGGGAGGCTCTTATTAAGTGCCTGACACTGGATCCACTTTCCTGTTAAAATGAGCTTTTGGCCAGGCATGGTGGCTCATACCCGTAATCCCAGTACTTTGGGAGGTCGAGGCAGGTGGATCTTGTGAGGCCGGGAGTTCGATACCAGCCTGGTCAACATGGCGAAACCCCATTTCTACTAAAAATTAAAAAATTAAGCCGGTTGCAGTGGTTCACACCTGTAATCCCAGCACTTTGGGAGGCTGAGAGGGGGTGGATCATTTGAAGTTGGGTGTTCGAGACCAGCCTGGCCAACATGATAAAACCCTATTTCTACTAAATACATCTATTCTTAGTAGAAACCTGTCTCTACTAAGAATACAAAAATTAGCCAGGTGTGGTACCTTTACTCCCTGAATAACTTACCTTTGTCAGTGAAGCAGGCCTTAGTTGGGGTCTCGGAATCACTGGCTGCTTATGTGCTGTGGTGTCAGTCCCTGCATCCCTTTGGGAGCTGGGTCCCTCTGCTGTAAGCAATCTTCACGTCTATCCCAGTGTGCAGTACAGATATTAGCATTTTTTATGTGGGCTATAATGTGAAAAATATTGGAGATCATAAATATTGTTCACTTAATGCCTGTGTGTCACACCAAGCAGTTTACCACTGAGATTATTTGCTGTTATGTGGTCGTGGAGACCTAGGTGGGAACTCATGTACAGTCAAGATTGCTGGTCTTTGTTACCTGGAACCCCAGTTTTGCCTGGCTTGATGGATGGGTCCCTGGGAGAGGGTCTCCGAGTTTTGGCATTCTGTGTGGGGGTTTCATTTAAACTGTTTCTGTCGTGCCAAACCATTTGTGGATGTAAATAGAAAGGGAAAAACCAACAAGGAAATGGAACATTTTATGGCATTTAACAGTGCTCTCTTTTAAAGCTATTTTTAATAGGGTCACCATGAAATTCGAAGTTAACAAAAAAATGTCACATCCATTATCATAGTCAGTACCCAGCTTCTCTTTATTTTGGACTTAAAATTTACTTGCCAGAAATTCATAGCTCTTGAATTAAAGCCACATTTATCATGCGTTCTTAAATATATATTAGGTTTTACTCGTTTTAGATTTATTTTTGTCAAGTGATGGACTCTTGCTGTGTTTCCTGGGCTGGTCTCAAACTCCTGGCCTCAGGTGATCCTTCCGCCTTGGCCTTCCAAAGTGTTGGAATTACAGGTGTGAGCCACTGTGCTTGGCCCCATCTTAGATTTAGATACTTTTTAAATAGTGTATTTAGAAGGGAGGTTTTTTTCATAATTTTATTTTTACAATTTTTAATCTTTTATAATTGACTTATTAGTGGATGCCTTTTTTCCCTAAGAGTTCTTGATGCCTTTCCTGTATTGTGGGAAATGGCTGGAAATTCTTCTCCACTCTGTGCCCTCCCCCAGCAACAAGCCTAGCTATGTAGGCACTGAGCACTCGGCAGCGGCCCCAGGTGTCAGAAGCAGACAGAAGCACTAAATCAAGTTGCTGGTAGTCGATCCCACTGTAGAGGCCTAAGCCCCAGAGGTAGAATAAGGATGCTGGAGATGAACAGGCTGTGACGGCACAGCAGTCCACAGTGTCATCAGGAACAGGGACCTTCTCTCTCTCTCTGCCACCCTTAGCAAGTGACTGCGTCTTGGCGTGACCAGACAGCACCTTTGCAGTCAGTGTTCCAGTCTGAGCCAGGGAAGGACGCTGGTTCTGGCTCTTTGTCAAGGAGCTTCCCCCACACCTCCCCAGCCAGGTCCCAGTCACGTGGTCACGGGGGTTGAAGCAGCCTTGGAAATGTATACTTCAGCTGGGCGCATGGCCACCCCAAATGCGATTGGGCACTGTTGGTAGGGAAGAAAGGAAAGTTGGACCTTGGTTAGAAAGCCATAGTATAGCTATATGTCTCCTTGGCTGTGTCACCAGGGCATACCACACACCTTCTGAGGCTCACGGTTCCTCATCCGCACACTTGGGGTGATAATTGCTCCTACCTCATGAGTTGTCCCTCTGACCAGAAAGAATGTAAGGTACCTGGCCTGTGGTTGGTGTGCAGAGGCGGCAGTCTGACCACAATGCCATGTGTCATTAGTGCTCAGAAACTTGTGAAGTTGCTGGAGAGCTGGGCTTCCTGGTTCTGTGACGTGTTTTACTTAATAATAAGATTGTTGTCCTGCTAGCCTGGGTGTGACTGGTCCCCTGTTCCACAGAAATCACATGGAGAAGATTTGCTTAAACTTGTGGAATGTGTGTGTCCTTGTGGTTTTGATATATATTTGGGTGGTTATGACAGAGGAATTATTAATCATGTAATAGAAATAAAGATTGTTTTGTACAAAAGTAAATGATTAACAGTGACAAATTTCTCCAGCCAAGAAGTACACATTCAATGTAAATTGGAAGCAACTTCATTTGGCTCATAAAAGCTTTTAGTCAGCAGAGAGCTGTTGTCAAGCTAGTGGCATTTGGCATCTGGGAGGCCCAAGAATGTGGCCAAGTGTAGTGGAACAAATTGTACTGTGTGCCGGCTGTCAACCTTGGAGACACTTAGAAGAGCCTTCAGCAATACTGTGTGTGTCTCTGTCACCTTCTCTTTCTTCTCCACACCAAATGGCTTCATTCAACTCTGCTGCTTTGGCGTTGCCACTATTTTTCTGGTGTTTTAGGCTGGAAGTGTTAGGGTGAGAAGCCCCACCCTGTGGCTGGGTATCTCTGCGCTGGACTCGGTGTGTTTGTTTCCAGTCTCCCCCGTGCACATCTCTACCTCTCTGTCCGAGGTCACAGTAGAAAGAGAAATCAAGTCAGCAGGGACTCAGCGGACCCCTTCTTTCAGGATTCTCTTGGTAGTTTCCAAACTGTTTCCTCTACTACAGAAAGGTGTATTCTCTCTCTCCCTCCCCCATCCC